GTAACAAAATTGTTGTTCTTTCAGAAAATTGAATTTAGTTAAAAAATATTAAACATAACATATATAGTAATAATATTTTAATTTGATATAATTTTGAATTTTGAAATTTAAAATAATTTTAAAAAGTTTTAGATGTCAAAGTGTGTGAAAATTTATATAAACTTAAACTTAGTAGTTAACAAGTAAAAAAAAAATTGTTTAGAATTAGTTTTCTATGTATACTTCGCAATTTTTAAATGACATGTATATATGTATGAATACTACAAAAGCACTTTTAGTAAATACAATAATAAAAGAAATTATAAACTAATTACAAATAAAGTTTACGAAGAAGAACATTTATAAGACAAATTATTAAATAAAAATAGTAAAACTATTATTTCTAATATTTGAATTTGAAAAACAGTAACAATAAATAAAACATAATTGAATATATATAATATATATAAATATATAGCAACTACAAAATATGCAAATATATAATTTCGTAATATCATGCAAAAATATATGCCATCGTATATTGTTTATAATTTATAAAAAAAAAAAAGAATTCATAAGAAAATAAGTTCTCCAAAAAAACATTTCAATTTTTGAAAATTATATTAAATAGAAAAAATTGTGTTTTTTACTATATTGAAGCAAGCAACCAAACAAGGGATAAAACAGCAAACAAAAACAACACAAAAAACAATAAAAAACACTTCCAAGTCTATAAATGAAAATTTTTAATAATTCATATATACTTCAATTATAAGTGCTATAACTTTATTTATGCATTTTCTATAGAATTTTTTTTTGTTTTTTTTTTTCTTTATCAATATCGCTATCCATAAAATTTAATAATTTTTTTACTCGTTTCAAATCAATATCACATGCAAACAGTGGGTTTTGTAATATTTGAATGAATAAAATATAAATAATTTATTTACAATTTTAAAAATAATATTCATCAATGTATAAATTAAAAAAAATAAACCTCGTATTCCTTGTTAGGCAAATTTTTTTTCAACCGTTTTTATTTTTAATTTAATTATTTTTAATATATTAATTATTCAAATTTAAAATATGATGTCTTTCTGGCTGCTGTTTGTCAAACTCAGGAATATTGTAAAATCGCTTATTAATAAGCAAAATATTTACATGTTAACAATTAATTTCTTACAACAAACTGCTCTCATTCCCCCTCTGTCTCTGTCTCTCTGTCTCTCTCTCTCTCTCTCAATCTCACTGATTCATTTTCAAATTATTACTCAAAACACTATGTTTAAAAAATAAATAATATGCAAAATGTTTCCTAATAAACAAAATAACGAAATATATATATTATATACATATACAATAATTAATAAAAAGAAAATATTTTAAAAAACAACAAGAAATCATAGCACATGAGAACAATAAATATACATATTAAAATTATATATACAAAAGAAAAACATTTAAATTTATAATAGCATAGATACATAATTGTATAGATGCGTAGTTATATATATATATATATATATATATAAATACATATACATATATAATTGATTAACTGAAGTATACATGAATTTAGTAATTAAGTTAATTATATATAACTAAATATATATACAAAAATTAAAACAAAAAACTATTTTACATGAATTTGTATACGCGAAGCTAAGCACTTATATATACATAAATATGTATATCTCTAATAAATTTAAATATATTATATATGTATATAAAATTAAAAAAAAAAAATATTGTTAAATATATGCAAAATCACACAAAACTGACTATAGAAATTAAAATGGAATAAATTATAAATAAATTAAATGATTAAAAAAATTTAAATACCTTAAATGTGTAGTTAAAAAAAAGCAGTTAAATGGAAATAGTTATATTATTTACATATATAGTTACATATGAATAGGAAATAAAGCCTGTATTGATATATTATATTATGTCAACAAATTCCCTATATAAATAAAATAATAATTGTATACGAATATATACATAAAAAAAAATAATAAATAAACAAAAATAATTCACTGCAATATAATAAAATATACTAACTTCACTATAGAATATGCCCATATAGAGGCACTCCTTATACTAACAGACGATCCAAATAGAGCATAAAACATATGGAAATGTAGCTATACACGCATATATAAATATAAATACATATACATAAATATATATATATATATTTACATAAAAATATATATATTTATATAACAAATATATAAAGTAATTAGAAAAAATATGATCTATTAAATCAATATATAATATATAAAAAAGCAGAATAATTTGAAATATTAAAAAAAAGGTAACAATGTAATAAATAATAAAAAAAAATATTATAATTATGACTAAAAAAAAATAATTAATGTAAAAATATAAGAATTTTAGAAAAATGTAAAAGAAATAACCTTTTTTTTATTGAATTACCATCTTAAAAATCGAAACACATGGCGAAAATTAATGAATTCTTCCCAACATCTATCGTTAGTTAGATGTTGGGAAATATTTATTTTAACATATTATATAATTGAATTAGTTTGTAATATATACTATTGTAATAATACGTATAGGTTTATGTTATGCTGGCAGACCAAAAAGGCCACGCGTACACCATTAAGGTCCATTGCGATACTGAATCAGAGTCTTAATTTTTTTTAGCGATAGTGTGCATCGATTTCAATAGAAACCTCAGGTATGTGCTTCAGTCCAGTAAAACTGACAGCCCACAAGAATTTTTGTCGAGTTCTCCAGAGAGCCGGGCAGTTACACAGCCGATAGTACGTATAAGTTTTCCCAAGTAATATTTCAACGAAGGTGGTGATGAAAGGCAAAACAATGGACAGTGAAGTTTATTTGTCATTAAGGGTTCCAGAAGAAGATTAGGAGGTTCACTTTGGTTTTCAGATGATCACGTGTCGCAGGCTTAAAGTCAAAAGAAGTTTAAGATATTACTCTGGTATATGATTTTTTTTGTTAAATACATACATAGATAGTAGGTGTTGAAGGAAGAGTTTTACTCTGATCATCGTTATATAAAATTCGTAATGGACATGTTTTAACTTTTCTAGTTAAGACGTATAGAAATATAGAAAACAACTGACTGTAGCCGTGTAACCACTGCTTAAGAATTGAATGGTTAACCATTTAATAAAGGCAACGAATAACTCACACAACCAGTTTTCCAACAATACAACAAAGAGGGAAGTACAAATCACAAACAGGAAGAACTTACTTAACACGGCCAAAACATGAAGAAATTTCTCAGACTTGAAAAACTAGAAGGTTCAATTAAAAAAATTATTTATACATTATTATAAAATTAAATCTGTGCAACGTAAGTACTAGTAAAATAACTGTAAGCACATAGAACAAATATCGGGCACAACCACTTTAAGAATAATCACAACAGTGAGACCATGCAGTTTCGGCTATACAAAGACTATGGACTAAATCGAGCCAATAATCGCTAGGTCTTCTTTTAGATATACACTATCCAGCCAGCAACCAGATAAAGTTAAATAACTCTAGTAGTTTTTGAGGCAGGTTGCTCTTGTTACAGTAGTTCCTCGAAATCGCAGGCGCCTGATGGTATTGCAGAAATTGCTCTATTAGAAATTGTTTATGAACGGATTTAAAATTCTTTTAAAAAACTAACCTTATCTAATTATCTGGAACTAACAGGAATCTTTTTAAATTATAGTATATTTTTAATATATTAATTTAACTTCTTGACGGAGCAGAAAAGAGTATAAAACGCAATATTTCCATATTTGTAAAGTTTGTCTGTCCTCAGCAAGTGCTGGTGCATATATCGTACCATTTTAAAAGTTGTTATAATGTGAAGTACTTAACAACCAGCCATTTAGATAATTAAACGGCTATATGGATGGTACATGGTACTGGAAAAAATTATTCTCTTGCTGAGAAGATAAACTCATCGCTGAGATATCGATCCTTAATACGCTTTCGATATCAATCAATCTGAAAGAGTTGGTCGGGTCTACATCTCGAAGCTACCCGTCAATCATGACTACTAAGTGTCGTTCAACACACCCTAAAGGCATTTTGCAAGTGGATATCTGCAGGCTATCACAACAATATATGTCAAAAAGTTGAAAACTTAGCAACTGTAAATTATAAGAGCAATACAAATACCAGTAAAATTAATAAAATTAAACGAAAAACTACATCAAACATATTTAATTGACCAGTTGTAAGATATCTTAAATTGTCACGTTGGCTTATTTTTCAGCGAACTTTTTGTAATCTTAAATATTTTAGTTAAAACTAATAGCCATTCAATATTTTTTCTTGCATTTTTGTCTTTTATTTTTAATAAATCAAAAATAAATTTGCATTACAAAATTTTATAAAAAAGTTTTCAAATACAAGGAAGTGAGAACAACCGTAATATTTTAATAACATCGTCATAATAAAAATATAGAAAACTTTTCAATGGTGTTAACAGACTTTTCTAATTAATCAATTCTAATACGTATAGTAACATTCACTACTAAAATAAAATATTTAATTAAAATCTAATATACGTTTTTTAATCATAAGCCCAGTAATTTAAGTCGTTAATTTAACACATTCAAATTAATAATGTTTTTTTAAAAAACAATTACACTTATAAACTTGTATAAGTGTAAATATTTAATTATATTTTAATTTTTATATAAAATCATTTATATTACAAACATTTAAGTCTACTTCGTAGACCATTTTCAGTGTACAATAATAAATAAATAATAAATTACATATTCAAATACATGTAAATAAACATATAGACGACATATTTCCAAAACAAGAAACCAAATTGGTCTACGAAGTAGATCGCAATATATGTAATATAAATAATTTTTTATAAAAATTAAAATATAATTAAATATTTAATACAAATTTATAAGTGTAATTTTTATTTAAAAAAACATTTTTAATTTTTATATGTTAAATTAACGACCTAAGCCTAGTAAGAATTTTAAAAAACTTATCGAATATTAGTCGTAATAACAATTTATTATAAAAATCAAATATATAAAAATAAAGAAATTTTAGTCAATTTAAAAAATATGAAATTTTTTAGCGAATACTTTGACGGAAAACGCTTTGTTGAGCACGACTTGCTACAGCATTCGATTTTTTGGCAGCCTGTGGATCAGGAGTAAAGCAATTCCATAGACGCAAAGTTTCATCAGCTCCCGCACTAATGACAGTGCTGCCATCAGGTGACATAGCCAATTGCAATATACGTGCTGTATGACCAATTAGTTCAGTCTGCTTCACAAGAGAAGGATATTTCCAGATGGTCAACTGATTATTTGCAAAACCATGAGCAGAGATCAATTCCTTGTAATTACGTGACCACAGTAAAGCACAAACTTGAGATTGAGTATCAATAGAATGGGTGTTACTACCGTTGTTTATATTCCAAAACTTGATACAACGATCTGCTGTACCGCCGCCAGTGGCTAATACATTCTTTTGCCATGGACACCATGCTATTGCGCGTACAGCAGCCTGATGTTCATTAAGTGTATGTAAAACGTTTGTACCTGTGCCAACACCGCCACTAACAGCCGGCCAGACATTGACTAAATTGTCATTGCCACCACTAGCAAGATACTTATAATCTGTAGACCATTTCAAACCGCACACTTCCTGTGTATGTGAATTTAACGTACTAACCCTGTGATTACGTGCGCGTACATCGTGATGTATTATAGAACAATCGCGACTACCCGATGAAACCAGAAAAGAGTTCCAAGCCAATACACCAACACGTGCACTATGACCCTCCATAATGCGTAAACGTTTTCCTTTTGTACAATCCCATAACTCCACTACACCTGTAGTGTTGCCTATAGCTAATATCTGGCCTTCTTGAATCCAGGACAAAGAGCAAGCGTGATCGCCACCCTCGTACTCAACCAATTGCTCTATATTTCCAGTTCCGGCATTCCATAAATATACAGCACTACCGAGCGCTACAGTCACTATGTTATCAGAACTCCAGTCCATTAAATTTAAATCTAAAAGAATATAAAATTTCGTTAAAGTAAAAGAATTCATAAAAATTCATAAAATAAAATAATCTTAAAATAATCTTTTAATCTTATTTTAAATCAAGTAATGGTGGATTTTGTGGTCAGACACTATATACTTCTATAATTTTTCGGTTCATAGAAAATATCTTTTATTTGGTTTGAGAAAAGTGGTTCTAGAAGAACCCAGGTGGACTTAGTCCAACAGAGAAACTAAAATCGTACCCATGATGTTGAAGAGATGAAAATATTAAATCCCCAAAAAGGGAAGTGTTTGATTTCATCGAGATCTTTTAAAATTTTAGACTACAACTTTCTGTCCTGCGTGGATTAAAGCGACATGACAATTCCAGATTTTGTATATGGATATTTAAATGTTCTCTTTCCCTTTTTTAATGTGTTACTCTTAAAGTTTAGTAGGTAACCACAAGGCAAATAGAAAGTACTGCGATTTCATTTTTAGAGTATTCAGTTCATGCAAAACATATTAACTAATAGTTTGTAATAGATTTGATATTTTATTGCATTAAGAATAGTCAATGAAAATATTTTAACGAATTCTGAAGTCGAATGGTAACGCTGGCTGTTTTAAAATAGAAGTGAGATCGATTATCTTATTTTTATTATTATCACAAGAATGGACAACAGTACAACAGAGGTTATTAGAACTATTTTGCTGTTTCTGGAGATAGTTTCCTAAACTAACCACGGTACTTTAAAGCTATGCATAAACTTAACAATATTTCTTTGTATAAAATCCCAGAATTCATTTGGTTCAATGTCGTGGTGTATTAGACTCATATCTTGGCACCCATAGGATACGTGCAGAACAGTCAGGTGGAAATTTCACTCTGCGTTCCAGAGAAATTGCAAGTGTTGGTATTCATCTTTGAAAAGTGGCAGTTAACAAGAGTATGTCCAGTTAGGAACTAGTGGTTAAGATAATATTAACATATTTAAGATAGGCTTTATGGATTGTTTCTGATTTTTATGTTTCTTTTTTTACTGAAATTGATAAATATATTTTCATTGAATCTGTTTTTTTAATGCATTAATTAAAGTACTTTAATATGAATTCCATTAGAATTAGGCTGATTATAATTAGACTACAACTAAAATTAAATTATTATATTTGTAATAATTTAACAAAGTTGCGTTAAGATTTTTGAACGACATCAAGAATATTAATAGAGTGGTTTAATGAGTACGCATTTATACGGAATCTGAAATGATAATCAGTGGCAATTATGTATTAAAATATTAGATACTTAACACATGAAGTGTCTGTCTTTATAACACATAAGACCCTCACATAGAATATAGACGTCTTAGAGGTACATTTTACATTTTGGTACATCAAAATGTATAAAAAGTATTTTATTTATATTAAAAATGGGACTAAGCATCGTGTAACACTACTGAGCTTAACCTTGCCAAATTTGCTTAGTTATATTCAAAATAAGACATGTGTGAATGTATCTAGACATAGTATTGAAAAATAATTTGTGTAAAAAAGTATGTAAAGTAGTGTCAAAGATATTATAAAATAATAATAATAAAATATTGACTATAATAACTTAATATAATAAACAATAATATATACTCACAATAGTCATTGATAATATCAGGTGCATCCAATATACGATCCGAAGTTGAGGGAATATACCGTGTACCACTTTTACTCGAGTGTGGTGTATTTGTGGAAAATACAACCTTTAATGGATTTTGATGTGAATCTGGTGCACTTGGAGCCTTATTTTGATAACAAAGTATACGTGTTGACTTCAGATCGCCAATATTTAATGAATCGGCAATTAATTTTTGTCGTTCGAGTTTACTAGGAGAAATTTTGTTTTTGTCATTTTCGGTTTTGTCGCGTTCTTGTTCACGCTCCTTATTTAACTACATACACGAAGAAATATATTAAATTAAATTATTTATATAAGAGTAAATAATTTGAAAGTCATTATTTTGCACTCACCAGAAAATGTCCTATGTCAAAATTACTGGCACAACGATTCGGTATGAAACGATCACCACCGCTTGGTGTTTTACTAGGAGTTTTCTTGGGACGAGTGTCAGGATTTTTAACAGGTGTCTTCAAGTTTGGATTAAGATTTGAAATGCTGGTATTGTACAATACGGAAAGTACCGAACGCGAATTGTTAGCACTGGCGTTCAAGCTAAAACTAGAAACATCATGCTTCTTTTTCCAGCGCGGTGCTGGTCCACGACTTATTTCGCCATTCATTGAAAGCGCGCTATTAATTTCATTAACAAAATTAAATTGCGACATTTTAGTTACAAATTATATCTTTAATCATCCGTATTAATCAAAACAGAATGCGTCGTATGTTGTCGTTGGTAATGGCGGCCTTGCTGAATTTAATTTTTGCGCTTGATACTGTGCGAACAGTACTGACAATATAAGGACTACGAAAAATTAGCAGAGTTGCATGTGGCATAAAAATGTTAATGTCATTTATAAGTTAACCATACATATAAACTGCGTGAATGTATTTGTTAATAACTATTTTTATTTTTAGTGAGTCTTTAGTCTAGTACTAATATCTATTTCACACGTAAAAATAATTTCTAAATTTTGTGAAATATTTTTTCAAGTTTTTTTTTTTTAATATTTCAACTTTTCATAGAAAAATAATGATTATTAATTTAGTTTAAAACTATTTCTTGTATACCACATAAATACTTAACTTACATGTTAATTTTTAAGTATAAGATTAACAAATAATACACAAAAGCTATTATTACAACATGATAACATATATTGGAAATTACAAAAATTAATACGTTGTATGTAGATAAAAATGAAAAACATTTGAGAGTTATGTCTTTTAATATTGAATTTCAACTTCATTTTATACAAATCACAATTAAACCACAAATTTAGCTATTGTATTTTTGCATGGAATTTGATTTGACAATTTCAATCCAATTTTATAGAAAAGCGAGTCAATTGTGCAAAATTATGATTATGTGCAATATACAGATAAGCTATTATACAATGAATAGGCTTTGTAAATAAACAGTTTTTATGAATTTGTTATTTTAACAACTGCGTACCTATTTATATGCTTTCAATTTAAAACAGTTTTAAGAGTAGAAAAGTATACAACACAAAAAACATTTCATTTTTTATGTTGTATACAACTAACTATTGCACACTAATAATTTTTGTAATTTTCTCTGTAAAATGCAACACTTCACAATATTTCATTGCTTTTTGACACAGATTTTCTTTAGTTCATTCCGCAATGAGAATGTCAACAAAAACATTTAATAATACGGTCTTTGTTATAAATGCCAAAGACCGTAAAATTACGATAAACGCATTTGGACAATTAACGCATTTTTGTGGATCGTTGTGGTTTCAAAACAGCTGATTTATAACCCACAATTTGGTTTTCTTGTTATTTAACAAATTTTGTTCAGCCAAAGGAGCAGAATTATTAGAATCATCAATAAGAAGACATGAGTTATTATGGATTATTTGACGAAAATAGTAGGTGATAAACAAACAGAAACAAAACAAACAGAAAAACCAGTGACAAAAGCAGAAACAACTAATAAAAACTCTACAGAAGAACGTACAAAAGAATGGGGTTATGATTTGTATCCGGAACGCAAAAGCGAAGAGTACAAACCGAAATGGTCGAATGTATTGCTTGGTTTGGAGGGTCGCGAAAATATAGATAGGATAAAATGTGAAAAAAATGTGTATTGGTGTGCCAAAAACAGTCCGCTTGTTAAGTTAATGATGGGAGCACTACGTAGTTCAGGTTGTCCAATAGATTTGCGGCGGCACATATCCTGTGAAGTATGCGATAAATCAGTAACTGGTGGCTATGATCCTGTATTGAACCAAGTTGTTGTTTGTCAAAATATGGCGAAAGATAAAGGCATGGTACAAGGTGTGTTGACACACGAAATGATACATATGTTCGACTATTGTACGAATGACATGGACTTCAAAAACATAGACCACTTGGCGTGCACTGAAATACGTGCGGCCAATTTAGCACATTGTTCTTTCATGAGTGCTTTGGTGCAAGGTGAAACATCTGTATTTAATATCAAACAATCGCATCAGGTAAGTGTGTTCCATTACAAAAACAAAGTTTAAACATTTAAAATATGTTTTGACTTTATTTATAGAATTGCGTGAAATCGAAAGCAGTGCAGTCGGTATTAGCGGTGCGAAATGTAACCAAAGAGCAAGCACTAGAAGCAGTGGAACGTGTGTTCCCCAAATGCTATGCAGATTTAGAGCCCATTGGCAGGCGTATACGTAGAAACTCGCCTGATCAACATAGAGCATATTTAGAAGGTCCAATGTATGGTTACGATATTTATTAAAACATATTTTTAGTTAGGCATTTATTTTTTTCTTTTTTTGGGAAATATATGTGTTAGTTTGGTTTAAAAACTAATTATTTTTTTGTAACGTCTAATTATATCTACAGTTTAAGAATTTTTTAAAATAATACAAAGAAGTAGTATATGATATATACATAAATAATTCGTATAGAGTCATTTGAAATTATAAACAAAACATACGAAGTGTCTTACTAGAATGATAAGATGTCCTGGCTTCTGATATTTAGTAACTGGTCATACCAAGACGTAACTCGTGAAAAATTCCATTAAAATAGTTAAAGTTGAAGTTACTGACGTATGCAAAAATGGAATAAAATTTGATCCATAAGACATGTTGGTAGACTTTCACGTAAACTGCTTGAGTGTTTGGAATAATGGTCTATTCAACTTGACTTAACTTATACAATTAAATTTGTTTTTAAAAACTTTAAATGTCTTATAAAATATTAACAATATAGAAAAATACTTTCGACAAATTTATACGCGTTAAAAAAATAAATGATGTACAAATTGAATTTTAGCTTTTAGACAAATATTCCGCAGAATCCAAATGGGTTCTAATTTATATTGTGAATATGTTGGATTTTATCATTTTACCACAAAACTATCTCTTATGAAGATTTAGGTTCTTGAGGAATTGTATATTTAAGGTAGTAAATTGTTTTATAAACATATGAAAAAAATAAAGTTAAGCTGCCTTTGGCCACTTAGAAAATTAAAATATCAAGGTATTCTGATACTTGTACTGCCTCAGGAAGTTGTACCTCTGCTCTTGAGAGCTTTTACATTGCAAACAGCGTAATCCAATTTGAGTACGGGTCGAACCAATATGATGAAGAGATGTCGAGTCACATCTCTTTTATGGGCTATTGATGCTAGTCTGCATTACTTGGTGAAATATAAGGGATACATAGATCACTGCATTTTCTGTTATAGATTACTTTAAGAAAAAAATCAAGAAAATATGTTATTTGGAACTTAAAAAGTTAAAAGGTCAGCATCTTGTGATACCTGTTGTCCACAGGAAAATTGATTCTAATATTTGATGCAAATATTTTTGAGCGAGTATAATGAGTATAAAAACACTGAATTGACGAATAAAAACTATGGTTTTTTATGCTCATAATAGCCATATTAGTATGGTCACATTATATATTCTATGTAGACGCAACTAAAATTTCTTATTCCCTGATGAACTGGTGCATATTGATGAAGTGGTCTGACTACTTTCACCGTAATCAGAAACCAAGCTGTTAACGGTTAACAATGCCAGAACTGAGTAAACTAATACAATGAAATACTAGTTTAGCAAAAACTTAATTTGGAAACACTACAGCTTCAACTTCACAAAACAAAAGTGCTTATATATACCGCCAGTGAGCAGGTTATCTGGTTGTGATAGATGCTTCAGGAGGTGCAATGACATCAAAAAAAAAAAAAACGCTAAGAAAGATATTGAAAATTCGTTAATATGTCAGAAACTTTGATATACATAGTTGTCTTCCTATTGCGTCCATTACCAAATACACCAAGGTTACGGTCTCAACTCTATTCAGTAAAAAATAGGATCATCACAACAATAACCATTTAATTTTATAGAATATTATCTTAGCACTAAACAAGTCAGTTTTATGTTAGTTGAGCTCAAATAATGGCTCATTGTGACACCATAGGAATAGCATTGGTGCGTACATAGCTTGAATACGACCAGCGCCAAAAAAGGTAACGACTGCCCCATAAGGTAAAGGAAAACCAATCTGACAGATTGAATTTGGCTATTCTTAAAATGATAGGATGATAGCACGGTTAGGTCCGTAAGAAAAGGGGCCACAAAGATTTTTGATATTCTTCTAGCTATAGAAGAGCACTGACACATAAGATGGAACACGGTTTCCTTCACATCCTGGATGCCACAGCCACGATACATGTCATTATAGGGTAGACCCAGTCTCATAGCATGCCTTCTTATTTTGCAGTGGCCAGTCAACACAGATACTGTGGTACTGAGCAGGTTCTGCCTTAGTTTAAGTAGCTGACTAGTGCGTTTTGTGTCCAAATCAGATCTTAGACTTTCTATATCCATGCAAAGTTTGAAATATTTTTCTCTATATGCGCTTGTGCGAAGATGAACAATGTCTGTATTGTCGGTTTCATTTTATTAATTTTACAGACCAAAAATGTAAATTAAATAAATGTTTTACTATTTAATTTAAATGCGTAATTATTAATTAAATTAAACTCATTTAAAATGAAAAGGTTGGCTTCTCATTGGAACATTTTTAGTTAATAAAATAATTGCAAAGTTAAAACAGCTAAGCAAAGTCTACTAAATTTTACTAGCAAAATATGGAGGACTGTGAGTTTTTGGGCATTGTTTTTAATTTTATTGCGGACATATTATTTCCAGAGGAAGGTAAATAAATTATTAATTTATATGTTAATATCAATATTTTGCTATCAAAATTTTTTTCTTTATGAGCGTATAATTGAGTTATTTATCTGTTAGGAAAAGTGAAGATTTCTATTTGCGGTCATTACGGGTTACCACAGTTTCAAGAAAATCTTTCTTTTAACTGTCTGTTTGTTGATTGAGAATCTATGTATCTTAGGATCCATAAAAGCATAACATATTCTTTCTATTTTTGATGGTATTACGAACACATTTTCTAGTATTTCTAGTATAAGATCAAAGTTTAACTGTCATACAAAATGCTACCCAACTTGTTACCTAAGAATGTGGTTCTTTAAGGTTCTTTAACCTGAATTACGCTCTTAGAGAAAACGGTAATAGAATTAGATTATGTTTATTTGGTTAGCTGTAAGCTATATATATAGACCTATTAGTCCCTATCGATACTGAATGGTGCAAAATTTCCATATATACATTGTGACCGAAAAGCTTTCGGAAATTCTCATTTAAAATTCGCGCGCTGTATATTTTTCGATATTTTAAGTTTATGTAGTTTGGCAGCACTGTCCTTAATTACTATGCCAAAAATGAGCGCGATCTGTCGGACAGTTCGTTTACGGCAGCTGTTGAAACCAGTTCACCTCAGTAGTGCGTTGCGAAAAAAACAATGGAAAAAAATATTGAACAAAGAGTTTGCATCAAATTTTGTTTTTCGAACGAAATTTCGTGTGCAGAATCGTTGCGAATGCTACAAAAGGCTTATGGGGAATCAGTTTTATCGAAAACTCAAGTTTATGAGTGGTACAAAGCCTTTCAGGACTGTCGTACGACCGTCGAAGACATGCCGCGTTCTGGACGACCTTCGACCTCTACCACCGACGAAAACATTGAAAAGGCAAAGGAAATCGTGTTCAAAAATCCTCATGTGAGTGTTAGAGAGATAGCACGAGAGCTAGGCATCGGTCGTGAGATGGCTCGTTTGATTTTGGTGGACAATTTGTGTATGCGACGTGTCAACGCCCGGCTTGTTCCGATTCACCTCAATTTGTTCAACATTATCAACGATTTTAAGGCCAAACATTCAATAAATACCATCGAACAGCCACCGTATTCACCTGATCTTGCACCGTGTGACTTTTTCCTGTTTCCCAACCTCAAATTACCACTCAGAGGAACGCGTTTTGAATCCATAGAAGACGTAAAACAGAATTCGCAGAGGGAACTCAAAGCCATACCGGAAAGCGCCTATAAAAAATGTTTTGATGATTGGAAGAAACGTTGGCATTTGTGTATCGCTTCTAATGGAGCATATTTTGAAGGAGATAAAATAAATATTGATGAAGATTAAGAATTTTGCGTTTTATTTAAAATTTTCCGGAAACTTTTCGGTCACAATGTATATATTTTTAATATGCAGCATGTATAATATAGACACTTATTACACATTTTTAGAGTATTTCAAAGTCCCATTTCCAAAATTTTAGAGTCTCCACACATTATAAGCATATTCATAACAATGCTTGCCATAAGCATAAAGGATGTTCCAAAGTCTCTTTTATTTCCAGTTAATAATATAACCAGGGAAATAATAATAAGCAATCTATAAGCAACATCGGATCTGTATTGCTGAGTAGGAACGTTTTTTTTTTTTTTGCAAAGAATTGGATTAATTAGATCTTTCGCTTGACTGTTACTTGAAAATTCGTACCAATAGCATGGTTTTTGGAATATTATTTTTAAACACCCGTGCTTTGGATAAGCTATATGTTATTACATTATCATACGATATCAACTTACTTATTACAGGAAAAGAAAACGAAGATGAGGATTACGAAAGCGATGATGAAGAGTAAAATACCGAATATTGATTCAATATATATTATAATATCATATAATATAATATAATAAAATTGCACAAAAACTAATGAACCATTGCATATACGAGTATATATCCTATAAATTGAAATAGTGTGTTTAATTAACAATTCGTATGTATGTCAAGTTAATGTTGTGTTCATATTTATAATTACTAATAAAAAATAATTTATTTCAGTTGTTAACAAAAAGTCAACAAAGCCACTTTAGGCGCTTAATTATTGTATTAAAAGCTAATTTAGTTGTTTTCCAGAACACGAACAAAAATTTAAAAAAAAAAACTAAAGAAGATAAAAAATGTTCTTCGATTTGCTGCAAACTATATTCGATATGATTTGGGGTCTTCTACCATTTGGTAAGTCTGAAATGTATATGTGAAAGAAATTTCAAAAAACTCAAATGTTTGTCGCTAAATTTTTCTCTTTCAATATTTTTCCTAGGTGGTTTGAATAGCAATGACAGCGAAGTTGATTCGGAAGAATCGTAGTACCAATATCTATCGTATACAATATCCAAGAAAAATGTGAAAGTATCTCATGCACAAGACCATCCTAGATGAGAGCACTGGGTAAATATGCATCTACCAACTACGGAAAGTGACTATTTTGCAACTATGAATTCTTCAACCTAAATTTATCACCTATGTAAATAACCTCTGTACTAATAAACTATGTAAAAATTGTTATTAATTATGGTATATAAATAATCTGTTATTTTCGTTATATGCCGACATAGTAACAACAAGTCAGCTTGTTCCAAAAATCATAGAAATAGTCATTAAGTGTATTTTGTCAGTAAGAGTGAAATATATATTTTATGGCTCATTAATTTTCATTTTTTTTAATTCATAATATTTATTTTTACCGAAAGTATTTATTTTGACTGACTCTGAAATGATATTCATTTAGTTAATCTATTGCTGTTCAGTCCATTTCACTTTCATTTTTTTTTGCCAAATCAAGTCAAGTAAAAATATTTAATTTTTTTTTGTGGGTTTTAAAATGTTTTTCGATTTATTACAAGGCATCTTTGGTTTCATTTGGGACCTGCTGTTTCCAAGTATGTCATCGAATGTGATAACTAAATCCTTCGTATTCTCAAATCATTGTTTATTGTATTGTGTAAAAATATTTTAGGTTCCAGTGATGAGCCCGACTCTGAAGAAGTGGAGACCGTTGACACGTAGACACGTAGACGGGAGTGATATCCACATTTTACAAATTAAATATAATATCATATAAATATGATAATTGTTGAAGATTATAATAATAATAAAAATATTACATTTATGTAAGTCTTCTGTGTTTTCATTGTAATCAAATATATAATAATTTTATAACGCAATCACAGATTGCGGTAAAAGTTTTGGCTTGAGATATAAAAACATATTTTGGATCAAAACTCATTGTTTTCAGCAATATATTCTCCTTTAATTATAATGCAAACATTTCAACATTTTTGATATTTCTACACTTTTATTCGTCGCTTGATTCGTCGAATCTTTAAAAATTGGTCTCTGATTCGGTGAAGGTCCCGCAACATTCGTGCAACCAAATATCTTTTTCAAGAGCAAACGACACACATTTTCAAACCCTGGAGTGTTTCACTGTAGTATAGTCTGCTGCCAAAAATTTAATTTTCATTTACACATCTTATGGAGTCTCTTCTTCACACATCGGCGAGGCTGACCAAATTATAATTGACTTTTAAAATTATGTTACTTGCGTCTGCCAGGTGTGATTTTGCTGTCGAAATATTTAAATACATTAATAACAAAAATTTTAATTGGGTTGTTAGAAAAATCATCATATTATTGTTATTGTAATGCATTATATTTTTTCACACTAGTTCTCTATATATAATACAATACAAGTGAAAGCTGCAATGCATTTCCAAAAGCCATTCATCGGTCCAACTCACTTCTTTGGCTTCAATAAAAAAGGCATATAATATGAAACTTAAAAATAGATCCAACAAAAAATCAAAGAATTACTCCAAAAAATTCTTGAATTTTAATGCCAAAAAACAAAAAGTAAACATCTTTTTCAATCTGAAGAAGAGTCTAAAGCAGTAACGATGCGTGCTCTATCTGGATGGGCGTGTGGCTCTTCTATAATGTTATTTATACATGTACTGCTTAAATTAAAATAGATGAGATGTTTTATTAACAATAACTAATTACATTAGGTTACAATATATTCAAAATATAACATTTTACATTTTCAATATCTGACCTGATTGATTGATGAAAACCGCGTATGAAATAAAGCCTGGAATAGGGAGCTACGTACCATGAACCAGAGTTGAGTTTAACTCCGGCCATTAGAAGTAACACAAAAGGAAAATATATAGGACTTACTTCTTAGTTGGAAAAACACATATAAACAATAACTGAAAAAAAAATGCATATAGCAATTGGTATTGTCCTTATTAGGAAAAACAAGTTGCACATGGTTATTTTGGTAAATGTATTGGCTCGAGCCTGATATTTCCTTATGGCTGAATATTTATGAACGGCTGAACTATTATTTCAATTGAAGTTTTTAGCTAGGAAGCTAACAAGGGTTTAATGACTATTTTAAGTCATGACACTACATTCTATTTTCAAGAAAGTTCATTATCAAAAACTAACTTTACTTGTCTGTCCATTAAATATGGCTGGTATATTTGGTGTTATACATTATATAATATATATTATAATATATTATACACATTATATTAGATAATACATATTATATAATATGCTATATATATATATATATTATATATATATAATATATCAATTTTTCCGGTTATAGTTACAGTATATAAGTTTCCAGCTGATTGTGTTCATAAAAGAAAAATCAAGAAGTAGTAACCAGACTACGAAACATTTCTGGAGAATTGGGTCAATTGCTGGCATATAAAATTATGGAGGTTCTGAGCACTGGACCCTAAATTTTAAAAGCGCCATTTTCAGTTATCTTTAACAACGATCTACTTATTGTTGTGCAACTACATATGGACTGGTAGTACATATGGACTGGTAGTACATATGGACTGGTAGTACATATGGACTGGTAGTACATATGGACTGGTAGTACATATGGACTGGTAGTACATATGGACTGGTAGTACATATGGACTGAAAGTACATATGGACTGGTAGTACATATGGACTGCAATCCCCACGACATAAGCAATTTGTTTTAATGTGATGAGGCTTCAATTAGATGTTGTAGCCCGCGCTGGTACTTAGATGTCCAAATTAACAAGTGACTGCAGAATGTAGACTTTGCAACCGTAACTGTATTAAAACCATTCAATCCCAATGACATAAGCTATTTGTTCTGATGTGATATGGCTTCAATAAGCTTCAATTAGTTCATGTTCCGTTGCTATAGAAATGTTATTGTTGTTGTTGTAACCCGCCGGGACCTGCTTGTGAAGTCCCTTTGGGGGTGGTCGAACGGCATTTGGTCGTCTTTGACGAGTGGCTCCGGGACGTAGACCCGGCCGTTCTTGGAACCAGCTATAGAAATAAACATCTTTGTTTATTTTTAATTCTGATTTCCACCAAATAATTTCTGGATATCCCCGGTTTACATATAATTCTTTGCGTAAGTTATTTCTATGGATTTAGATATTTTTGTTCGGTTTCGGTTGACACAGCTATTCTCATTGGACACTGTGAGTTCAGTGCGATCGTTCATTAGTCTCGTGCACTGAGTGTAGTGAGTTCTTTCTCAATAATTAACTATTTCAGGTTATTTTCAACAGAAGATATATCTCTTTCACTACTTATCTACTTATTTAAATGAAAAGAAAACAACGGATTTTTCATGTGCATTTTTTTTACGTTTTGCAACGTAATTATATTTTTACTTTTTACTTTTAAAATTCACAAATATTTCAATTGAATTTCATTTCTCCGAATTATAGTCTCCAAGTAATAATTTTTTTTATATAAATTAAAAATATTGTAAAATAGAAAATAGAAATTTAAAACAAAAAATAAAATGTTTAGGGAATATAAGAATTTGAATGGTGGTAGTATGTTTAGCTGGATGTGTTCAAATGATTAAATCATTATGAAAATACGCAAGTTTCTAATGCTGTTATCTTTTCTTCTGGTGAACGTATGGTATGTTTTTTAGAATAATTTGTGTTTTTTCTTAAGTTCTTGCTTCTTCCAAGTTGGCAATTGATCGTATTCCGGGAATGTCATATTGAATGTACGAACAAAGTCATCATGGGTAAGATGTTCCTGAAAAATAATTAACAGTTATAGTAATTGATAGTAAAGCTTCAAATATTAATCAAATAGTGCTTATAAAATAATACACTTTAAATAACATAACCAAAAGTAATTTAAGTTTAAGATGTTCATTTTATTCTTCTTAATTTTTTTCTATTAAATATTTTTATTGATATTGAGAATATTTTCAATTCACTGTTTTCGATTTTATTTTTATACTGCTTAAACCTTATGTAAATAATTTAAATATATGTTTCTATAGAAGATGGAATCTTATTTAACCAGAAAAAAAAAAAATTAAAAATACCAAATCTTTAATTTGGTTTTAGGAAATAACTGGGCGCAAAAGAGCAGGTACAGAATTGCTAGTGAAATGAAAGTTGTCGTTTAGAGAAAACAAACAATATTTTATGGCTACATTCAGGAATATGAATGTAGCTCAAGCATTTGACAATATGAAAAATAACTTATTTGTTAGAATATAGTTATTGGGCTAATCTTTCTTTTCAGGTAGCTCGCTTTAAAGAACGATTACAAGAAAACTATTGTAGCTCAATTGAAGTCAGCATATAGGCACATGCTAAATAGATACTTGTCTCGCATATACACTTTAATTCTCAACGTGTGCTCCAACTACAGCTCCAACTCATCATGACGACACCTATCTGTCCACAATGCTCATTTGCGTCCTATTGATCTATGGTTTCGGCTTTGTAATGTGGCCACGTTCGTTCTTCTCTATTCAGGTTAATTTCAATTAGCACACATCCATATTCTAATCGCTGCCTTATCCCGCGCAATCTTTTTTCTCTCTTACCTTTACCCACACCTATTTCAACCTATGTACTATGTCCTCGTTTTATAATTCAATTTTGTGTCTATTTTTGATCTCCATGGGTTATAACAATAATATTACAAGACAAGGGTTTATTATAAAATGAATATTTTTTAAATTGAACTATTCAAAATAAAATAAGATATTGATAAAGATAAATATAAGAAAAATGAACCAAGAAAAGTCTGTAAATTTTTCAAAAAAAAAACATCAGTTTTGAATAATTGAACCCATTTAAGTGCAAAGACATATTAGGTATTATATTAAATGATATTCCATGAACTAAAAATTAGTATATAAACTAATGTTTAAATACGTTATGAACTTTGTGTACTACAGGTCCCGGATTTTTGATACTTTGTTTTGTATATCTCTAAATAGTTTACTTTAAGTTTAAGCAGTATAAATAAAGTTTCTCATAATTGACATTCAAAAAAGTTAAATTAACATATGGTAATATGAAATCTTACTTCACGCTTTAATGGGCTAACAACATCTGGCAAAGCCGAGACCTCTTGTTGTAACACCTTCAATGGAAACTTAGCATGTTGATCAAATTCCCTATGAGCTTCATAAAAAGATGGTATAGACTCGGAGGAAGAGCCATTTTGAGTTTTAACCACATTAATATTAAATGTGTTACGCAAATTTTCATAGCTTACATAGTCCTGAAAAGTAAATTAGTGAATATAGCATGACATTAATGTGTTAATCATTTAATGCTTACTTTCCAATGATCAATATTCCAGTTCTCAAAGTGACCAGTAAATATATTTGGTTCTGAGTTTTGCTTGACTACAATAATTGCTGTGGAAGGTTTACGCGGTATATGTATGTGTTTTATATAATAGGATACAAAATGTAATTCGGTTTGTTTTTTACAGTTGCTTGCGTGTTCTCCTAACCAAATAAAGCAAACCGAACCTGTATCAAGTATATATGTGCACTCAGGTATAAGGTCGCTCTGGTCATATCCAATTATTTCAAAGGTTCGTATTTGATTGCGTTGTGACCATATTGTTAGTAATTGTGGAACCATGACACTCCGCACCATATTATCATTTGTATTTTTGTATGCAAAAGAAACATCGGAGGATATTGGTGATGTCAAATGCTCATTTAGTTTCCAGAAATTCGGTGGTTCACGACCCTGTATAACTAGGCTATATTGACCGAACATAGCACCAATATTCTTGGCCATTTCTCGTTCGTCCCCAGTAGTATGAGTGCCACACCAAACATATATTTGATCCGATTTCACAACATAACAATGGGTTGGGGTAAGTGATGTCATTGGAAAAGTTTCCATTGTTCTGGTATTGTAGGTAGCATTTCCATAGCATTTAAACACAAATAGAATATTACCCAAATCCAAACCGTCTGCGGTGTAGTTAATTTGGCGTTCATTGGCTATTATTATAAATTTTCCACCAAACATTTGTAAGAAGTGAGGAGTTTCACAAAACTCATGTATTTGCACCAATATGCATTTACTAGATGATTCCTCAAAGCACTTCTTAGCATATTTCTCAGCCATTTTTTTTACATTATGTGATGCTTCTGAACCTATCCAGTTATAAACAACATGTTTAACACCAACATTTTGTGCATCCGTAGGATTAGATGCATTAAGCTATAAATATAAAAACGTTTTTTATTAAAAAATGTGATAATTAATAATTAGTTATAGTCAATACCCGAACTGAGTAACAAATAACATAACAATTTTTAGAGCAAAACATTGGCAAAGCGTTGTCAGGTTGCTCCTGAATTAATTTTTCATATACACGATAAATCTTGCGGGCACCACAACCATCATCTATCAGTTGCATATCTGCCGCCATCTTTGGACGTTGAACAAGGATATTATTTTCCACTCTACCATATCCTGCTGATAGTGGTCTGCGTGTGATATTTGAACTATTCCATTCAGTTTGAGCATTCGGAAAAAGCCGAATAAACTCACTTGGCTCATAGCCATCAACGACGCGTACAACTTGTGTGCCATATGGATAGTTTTTCTGTATATAAGTAGTTTTATCAGTTTGAAAAATAATTATATTTAAAGATATACAATATTATTATGTTTACCTTATTAGCATAAGAACGCGCAATACGTATACAATTAATTTGGGTATTTTGTAAAGCATTGCGGCCAACCCAAAGCCATACGCCGCGTCCGCCAGCATCCAAAATATATGATGATTCAATATCCTCCAAATCTTTTTTATTGGGTTCGATGGAGTTAACTTCATCCAAGTGCAAACGCGACTTTTTGTAACAACATTTGAATATCTTAATTTTCTTTAATAAATGCTTTTCACTATCAGCGGCAGTTCCTTGAGAAACAAAACGATCATGAAGTGGTAAAATAGAGTTCCATTGTTGTTTGTGATTTTCTGGCAATGCTTGCTCGTAACCATCTTCCAATACAATCACTTCAGTTTCCGGTTTTGCAAGCTTTGATGCCCAATTTAAGCTGTTACGTCGCTCAACAGTACTACTGAAACGGCCAAGCCATACATAGACACAATTTTCAGTTACTAGCACCATACAATAATCAGAAGCGAAGTGTTCCCAGTTGATATCAGGCATTTGAGTGCAACGCAACCACCTACGTCCCTCGACGCGAAACAAATGTTGGGATGCACTCGTTCCTGCAATCTCACTCGAACGAATACTAAAAATATGTTTTGTAATTATATATCGTATAATATAATAATAATAAAATTTTAAACTAAATTTATATGTAAATTAAAATAAATTAAATTTTAAATATAAGTAAATTTCATTAATTATCATATTTATTTTTTATATGAAAATGTATGTACTTATATAGCCATTGCATAACTAAATATAATTATAATTAACATAATAAATTATGTAATATAATATAATATATTTAATATAATATAATATAATATAATATAATATAATATAATATAATATAATATAATATAATATAATATAATATAATAAATATACAATATAATATAATATAATATAATATATAATATAATATAATATAATATAATATATATTATAATATAATATATATTATAATATAATATAGAATATAATATAATATACAATATAATATAATTTACAATATAATATACAATATAATATATAATATAATATAATATAATAAAATCTTATAATATAATATAAAATAATATATATTATATGGTATGGTATATTATATTATACCATATAAAAAAAGTAGTATAATATAAAAAGTGTTATAATATAATAATAATACGATGTCATACATAAAACAATATTTATAAAGTAATATAATATATAAAATAATATATATAAAGTAATAAAATATATATCATAATATAATGTAATACATAAAATAATGAAATGTAATGTATAATATATAAAATAATATAATATATTATATTATAAATAATAATACTACATTTTATTATAAATATAATAATAATATAATAAATATAATATAATATAAATATAATATAATATATATTAAATAATGTAGTGTGTAAAATAATATAATTAATATATATATTATAATATAATATAGAATATAATATAATATACAATATAATATAATATAATATAATATATAATATAATATAATATAATATATATTATAATATAATATATATTATAATATAATATAGAATATAATATAATATACAATATAATATAATTTACAATATAATATACAATATAATATATAATATAATATAATATAATAAAATCTTATAATATAATATAAAATAATATATATTATATGGTATGGTATATTATATTATACCATATAAAAAAAGTAGTATAATATAAAAAGTGTTATAATATAATAATAATACGATGTCATACATAAAACAATATTTATAAAGTAATATAATATATAAAATAATATATATAAAGTAATAAAATATATATCATAATATAATGTAATACATAAAATAATGAAATGTAATGTATAATATATAAAATAATATAATATATTATATTATAAATAATAATACTACATTTTATTATAAATATAATAATAATATAATAAATATAATATAATATAAATATAATATAATATATATTAAATAATGTAGTGTGTAAAATAATATAATATAGATAATATAATTAATATAATATAATATAATATAATATAATAATATAATCATAATATAATATAATATAATTATATAAGTTATAATATAATTAATATAATATAATATAATATAATTAATATAATATAATATAATTAATATAATATTAATATATATAATATAATATAATATAATATAATATAATATAATATAATATAATATAATATAATATAAATATAATAATATAATAAAAATAATAATAAAAACTCTCTTAAGGGGACACTTAATTGTTAACAAACCTCTTTTCGTTAAAGAGGAATGTCCAGCTAAAATAGATTGGGTTGTTCCAAAAATGATAAATAATTTTTGTCTGTTAAGAGGAGTGTTCTTAAATCATAAATATTTTTGTTTGCAATCGGATTTTCGATTGCATATAATAATCCATAATACACAATTTTACGATATGTATTTAATAATAATACATTAACAACAATAAGTAACATTGATTTAGAATGTACTCACGTTAGACCTTTACGAAAATATGACATAAAGCGTGCACTTTCCGATTCTTGACAATCTCGATAGATGGTACATGTGTGACCAAAGTATTTGTCAAGTTCATTAATCTTATGAGTGAGATTAGCACGAGTTTGATCTGATGCCTTTGTACCAAACCAGAAATGCAGAAAACGGTTCAAAATAACTCCTTGCCGAACTTCTCGTGGCTATAAAGATATTTTTATAATAATTTTTTAATTACACTTGTACATAACTTTATGTTATATGAAAATTATTTTACAATTGTATCTTCATTGGGAAATACACCAGGTTGAGCAGCATTGTATATGATGTATCCGTAATTATCATAGAAGTTGCCATACTCTGTAGTAGGTAGTATTTCGAGACTGTCTTCTGCTATTTTCCAAATCTGGAAACATTGAAGATGCTTAGATACTCTACGAAATGAAGCATCAACTTTTGATTCTGAGATCGAATCTGAGACAAGCTCCTGTAAGTAAATATATAAAATTAATTGATGATTAAATTTATTATAAAGCATTGTATTTAAAGCAGAATATGAAGTATTTATACACATCATAAATATTTATTTATAATATTATTTAATAGAAATAGTAAACTGTTTAACAATTGTTGAGGTTGTAAGAGAAAAAAAAAGTATTTTTCTATATAAGTATTATATATTGTGTTGGTTTTTATGTATTGGTGGTGTAAGGTTAGATACATCCAATCATTTCTAACTCAATATTATAATATGGATTAATGAAACAGATAAGCCTCAGTAGAACGTACTATGTGAGTTATTTATAGATTTGATTAAGTCACTTTTTGAAACTATAATATATGTATTTTATTCTATATAATTATAATAGTTTCTTAGCTCTACAACCCGTGTTTTTTATTTTTGGGTTGCCCTCTAGTTCAAGTCATACTTCTTAGCTCTTCGCTCTACTCCTTCTGATTGTAACTGAATAGCTCCTGATTTATAGTCCTGAGTCAATGTTATTCATTAATCATTAAACTGTGTGTTCTCTGTACGGTTGCATTCCATTCCTAATATATTGCCAATCCATGTTAAGCTCTTAGCTTTGAAGAATTTAACAATGTCTTAAACTTTGGTTAACTTCACCAATCAATGCTACTCCCTATATTAGGTAGTTAGGTAGGTAGGCTTTATGTTAGGTAATCTATGCGTTAAATTTCTGTTTAGGCTTTAAACTTTTTCATGACTTTGCGTTAATAATAAATAAAATAAGTGGACATTGATCTTGTAAGTAAGTATTTTACATATATTTAACTTGCATATTATTGACAGAACGCCGGGTTTAAAAACTTAAAGTTGGAGAAAACATGCCTTCTTCATCACCAACAAGCGACCCTAGATATATTCTCTTCGATTTTATTTATTTTTTGTAAATATCATCACTTATTTTGCTGTTATTGATTGCTTTGAACTGGAACTTTCAAATTTGTGATGACTTCTTTTGCTGGTGTTTTTAGATAATACCATGAACATATATATATTTTGGACTATGCTCATTAAGTTCTCATTATAATTTTCAAGTGGGTAAAAAATTCATCAAGTTAACGCTGTTGTGTGCAACAAGGGTGAAATCGTTTGTATAGACCATTATTAACTGTGTTTCAGGAGTTATGAAGCCCTTTATCGCAGAGTGAAGACAGAGGTTAAAAAGAACGGGTGATAAATTATTTTCTTGTTTTACTCTTCTCCCGATGTCTTTCTTGCTGTAGAAATACTTTTTTCCACATACTACATACATATATGTATATATTGCTCTTAATCATGATTAATTAAATATTATAATCGTTATATTTTTTGTGTAAATTAAATTGTGATGTAGTGTGCATATAAAATGATTGTTAAAGTACCAGAAAATATCAAATTGCAAAAAATTTAATATATTTTTTATAACATTTTATAACATTATAAATTTCAGAATAAATGCAATGCTAATGTCAACTCCGATTTTTAGGGAAGGGAGCATGAAACTGTGATATTTAGCAATAGCGAATTTAATTGCTTCATACCAACCATGAAGTTGTTTTCATTTGCAACGCTTGGGGGATTCAACTTTGTAACTTTAGAGTTTGTAAAGATGAACTGATAATAATTATAGAACTAGCACGCTGTTACTAAAGATTTATGTTTTTATAATGAATGTTAGTTGAAGTTCGTTTTTGTAAATATATATCTGTATTTTAATTATTAAAAAAAATCAATTACAAAGAATCTTATATTAAAGTTGTAAAGATATACGATAAACAATAACAATAATTCTAGTGTACATATATATCTCTAGCCATTATTTATGGAGAAGCACTTTAAATACTTAAATAAACTGGAAATTTTAATAACAAGAAATCTTTAACGATTTCTCTTACAGGAACTATGATTTGAATCTGACATTATTTTATAAAGTGTTTTATATTAAAATAAACACATAAAATATTCAAGAATGCAGTAAAAAGAAAATTGTTATATTTCAATGATGTAAATCAGGATTGTCCAAAGCACGGCTCGCGGGCGTTATGCAGCCCGCGAATAATATATAAGCGATCCGCCAATTGTTTCTAATCTACCACAATTAGGCAAGTCATTATATTAAAAATAAAATATTTTTCGTATGGCAATAAATGAATGTATTTATTTATTTCTACTACTCTCTAACCTATTCAGTGATTTGTATTGGCCTGCGATCTTCTCTGATCTGGACAGTCCTGATGTAAATGATTGAAGATTATCTTGTAAAAATTAAGTAATTTACTATTTTATAAGGATAGGGAAAAAGTTTAGCACTTATTAACAAACGATTAAAACATTTTATTGATTACTATTTGTCAACTAGATCCATTATTTAATAGTTATATGAGTGGCCTGGCATTTTAATGATGTAATACCACTGCTTTTTTGTTTGTTATTATAGTTGCCTTACCTTCATTGTTTCGTTTAAGCCCTCGAGGTATGAGCTATAGAGGACCCAATTAACCATTGTACAAGGCTGGAGTAGCTAGTAATAGACCAATATTTTTTAATCTTATCAAACACTCAGCATAACCATGTTTCCCGTCATGTCAAGTTTTGTAGTCGATTGTGGAGAGTCATCAGTCTTTAATTATGAGGGTTTACTCACAAAATTTGTCTCTAGTAAGTCTGCTCTTACTACATAAGTAGTCTGCCCTTTTTAAAGGATTTGTAACTGTCATGTTATGTCTAATGACAAAAAATCGCAGATAGTTTTAAATATCATAGTAAGGGATAAATCTATCTCATTCACAATTTATAGTTGAATTAATCATACCCAACATATATTTGCTTATCTTGTTCCTCAACGAACTCCAGCAGTTTTAATACATTTTATAGTTTGTTTTGGAACAATTAGAAATATTAGATCTGTTTCACGAGCTACTCGTAGTAACTTTGAGTAACATTGCATTTGAGTGCGTTTCACCAATAAATTTTCGAGTAAATGATGGCGTCTAGGAGCGCGTAACATCCCTGTCGAAATTTGAAAATGCTACAAAGACTTTACTCGTATATTTTATTTTAAGTAAAATTTGTGTTGATATGTGACTCAGCTTATGCATTGGTCTTCTCACCAGACTTTACACAAAGCTATTCCATTAAAATCTGTGTAAAGAGTGTAATTTGACACTTTATTTGTGTTACGCTCTCAATTTGTACTTTACTTGTGTTTTACTCGAGTTTTACTATGAGTAGCTGGTGGAACAGACTTACTATTCGACCATAAGTAAAATCTGTTGTCGAAAGAGAAATTGGAATTGTGCTATATTTTCAATGACAAAAACAGCTGTTAATAATATTCCTTTTTTTTTTGAATTTCAGAAGTCATTCTAACTAATATCTTTTAAAGGATAAGATAATTTATATGCATCTTAATATGTTATAAATAAAAAGGAAAGCAAATATTTAATACAAATGGAATTCTATAATATATCCAGCAGTTATCGACTAACATTTTCATTGACATGAAACAAGTTAATATTCAAGTCAAGAATCATGCAGCATAACTTGTCGTTTGTGATGCAGAGAATACAACCGATAGACTGTGGTACACAAGGTTTATAAAAAGTGAAGTTAACTGGATATTTACCTACACACGAAAATTAAGACCAACAGACCAATTTTCTACTACTTTCTCAGGATAGCAACTGCAATCGAAGTCACATTACCCATTTCGGTATGCAAAAAAAGTTGTGAGTCAATTAGACCTAGTTTTCACTATCGTTTGCTACAGAAGTTTTTTAAATTTTTAAATTGTCAAACAAGTGAGACATAATAAATAAAGACAAAAAGCGAAAAGAGGCAGATAATGGCAATAATAGAAACATAAAAAGCGGGTAATTGAGGTTTGAGTACGGACATGAAGAAAGATACAAAGCCACAAGTAAAAGAATTTACACCGCTAGAGCCATTGCTGCTACTGCTTTTCTGTAGCGGCTTTGGGTTTTTCTGGAAGTGCAGTTTACAGTGTGGAGCGCTGCAATGTGGAGAGCAATGTGTGTTGCATGCAACATCCATAAATGTTTAGAAAGAAAGGAAGAACGAATCAAACACAATAACCGTAAATTGTATTCAGTCATTAAATCAACCGCAAGAAATCATAATGGCTCATGCAACAAGCGATTGGGCCCCTCAAAAGCATTAAATGCAACAAATGAATTATTTTGTTTGTGGTTTTAACCCGTTGCGAGCACGTAACGCAGATTACTTGCATATCTGGCATTCAGCGGGCATTCGGCAGCAACATTGCCGCTCCATGGCAATGTTTGCAAAGTGGGAGGTGCAAAGTGCGAGGTGAAGCGGCACATTAAGATTATTCTGCTTTTATTTACTTTTCTATTAACATCTCAGCAGTAATATCGAATAATACAAACTCATGTGCTGCGTATCTGGTATCTGCTGCATACGATGGATGATGTGGATATATGTATATTCGCCAAGCAGCCAGTCAACGTGTTGGACTCTTTGAATAACTTCATTTAAATGGATCAGCGTGTTGTGTTGCATGCGAACCAAACGATATTACTTGAAAATATTTATGTCACAAATAGTGCAATTAAAATTCAAAGTGGAAAACTTTTCTCAATGCAGAGATTATGCAGAAATATATGTGCCAAAAAAACTGGGTTAGAAATTATTCTGCGATGTAGTCAGATTATGAAGGTTAAGAGTAAATTGTGATAATTTGGTTGCAGTGAAACTATTACTATTTAAATGGATACAATTACAAGAATCATATTTTAAGAATCGTACCTATATTTTTTCCCATTTTAAAATTTATAAGTATAAGCTTAGTGTAAAGTGTGACTTTGAATAATATAATATTAGATACATGACAAGGTGGACAAATTTCCAAAGATTATTCCCAAACATTGGGTTGCTCGTAAAGTGATATTGATTTGTTTCCATTTAAATTAACTCATATTCGCCCAACGTTCAATTAATCG